GCCGTCCGACGACGACCACGCGGGCGGCTTCTGGGGCGGCGAGGGCGGCGCGATCTGGGTCAACGAGGACACGGTGCGCGTCGACCGCTGCGCCTTCGAGGGCAACCGCGCGCGCACCGAGGGCGCGGCGATCTACGTCCGGAACCTCGGCGAGGCCGTCGTCGCCGCGACGACCTTTTCGGGTAACCAAGCGGACTGCGACGGCGTCGTGACGACGGGCCGCTACTCCTGCGTCGAGGGCCTCGACGACGTCCATCCGGCGTCGGACCGCGCGGTCGTCGACTGCCGCGACGACTGCCCGGGCGGGAGCGTCGGCGCGTGCGCGCCCGTCGGCGACGGCGTCTGCCAGAGCTGCGCCTGCGAGCTCGAGACGGGCGCGTCGACGGCCCTGGTCCTCGAGGACGTGAACCCCGGGGCCTTCAATGCGAACGCGGACGCGCGCGCGGCGTTCGAGGCGGACGTCGGCGGCCGCCTCGGCCTCGTCGTCGACGGCGTCAACGCCATCGACTGGGTCGTCGCGTCGCCCCTCGCGGTCCACGACTACGGCTACACGGACGACACGAAGGTCACCTTCGGCGTCGCCGGCGACGCGGACGCGCTCCTCGCGGCGCTCCTCGAGGCGCTGAACGTCGGCGGCATCCCCGGCTGGGCCGTGGACCTCGGGCCGCTCGGCGCGGCGCCCGTCGACGTCGCCGCGTCGCGCGAGGCGGCGGAGACGGAGACCTTCGACCGCACGGAGCCCGGCGACACAGCCGTCGCGTCGTCGGCGATCGTCGTCGACGGCCTCGACGCCGCGGACGTCGACGCGGACGGCGCCGTGCTCGAGGGCCTCGCCGCGGCCGTCGCACTCGCCATCGGCGCCGCGCCGAACCAGGTCGCCAACGTCGCCGCCAAGTGGTACCCGGCCTACGAGGGCACGGACCTCTACACGAATTTGGCGTCCACGGTCCACTTCGACGTCGCCGTCCGCGCGTGGCCGTGTGGAAATCAAATCTTCAACCCGACTTCAATGTGCGCGTAATCGACCGATTTGGACCAGACTCTTTCGCCGTGCTTCGAGAACTCGCTGAGAGCAATCGATTCGTCCAAAAATCAGCCGAATCGACTTCGATTTGACCGAGCTAGAGAATTCTGAAGTTTGGCCCCGACGTCCCAGCTCACTGGTTGATTTCCACACAGGCGCGTGGCCGACGAAGCACTGGAGCAGCGACTCCTTCACGGACGCCGCGGGGCTCGAGGCCGCGCTCGAGGCGGCCCTCGACGGCGGCGGCCTCGCGGCGGCCGTCGCGAACGAGCGCGCGCTCCGCACCGCCGTCCTCGACGAGGCCGCGACGCGGACCGCGATCGCCGCGCAGACGTCCGCGGGGCCCCACGGCCGGGTGACGCGCGCGACCTCGTCCGCCGTCGTCCTCTCGGGCGTCTCCGCGGCGGCCTTCGCCGACGACGGCGACGCGGCCGGCGCCTTCGCCGAGGCGCTCGCCGACGCGCTCGCGGTCGACGCGGGCGCCGTCTCCGCCGTCGAGGCGACGGCGCCCGGCGCCTACGGGTCGCAGCGGGCGCAGGTCGCCTTCGAGCTCGACGACCGGCGCGACGCGCGCCTCGTGCTCGACGACCTCTACCGCGTCGCGCTCGTCGACACGACGCTCAACGACTACCTCCGCGAGTCCGACGTCGCGGCGCTCCGCGGCGCGGCCATCGACTGGGGGGAGACGACGCGGTCCCTCGAGACGCTGACCTTCACGCACGCCAAGGACGACGGCACGCCCGCCTCGGCGACGCACGCGATCGTACTCGACGGCGTCGCCCCCGACGTGCTCGCGGCCGACGCCGACGCGCTGCGGGCCTTCGCGACGTCCTGCGCCGCGGTGCTCGGCGCGTCGCACCTCCAGGTCTCGGGCGTGACGTCGACGGCCTACCACTACGTCGCCGGCGACGAACTGTGGGTCGAGTCCTGCCCGACGCTCGAGGCGCTCCCCGAGGACTCGGCGCTGTGCCCCGACGACCTCGACCTCGACGCGTGCGACGCGCCGGGCCGCGCGATCGGCGACCTCTGCGAGGGCGACGGCGAGTGCGGCACGGACAAGCACCTCGACAACTGCGGGAACGCCGACGACAAGAACGCGGACATCTACCGCGTCGTCGCGGACGTCTACCGCGGGCCGGCGCACGCGGGCGTCGTGCCCCGCGGCGCGCTCGTCGCCTTCGACGTCGCGCTGCGCGCGTGGCCCGCGCGGTCGACGCCCCTGCGCACGGCCGGCGCGACCAAGGCCGCGCTCCTCGGCGCCCTCGACGGGCCCTTCGCGGACGCCTTCCGCAAGTACGGCGCGGGCACGGCGCTCGCCGGCGCCGCGATCAACTTCGTCGGCTCCGTCGCCGCGCTCGACGGCGAGGCCGTCTGCTGCGCGGCG